CTAAGTAGAAAACGTGGAAAATGCCCGAAAAAGTTTTCTATTTAAAAAAAAAAGCACGCAAGGGTCACATTCAAGAAAATTTTCAACTAAATTGACAGTCTCAATTATCAGTTAGTTTTTGTCATGTTTCTGTCAATTGCCAATTAGTAACTGTTAATTGTTGATCAGACAATTGTCAACTGTCAAATTTTTTTTTGACTAGATGTATTTGTTTCTTTTTTGGGCACAGGCCAATGAAAAAAGATTACAGTAACTGAAACGTAAAGAAACCATACTTTAGAGTTTGGCGAATTTACTCTAAAAGGTACCAAAACACACCCTTTGAGGGGGCGAAATATGTACTTTTACTATGTGGCAACTGCTATTTATTAACTGTCAATTTAGTTAATYTTTTTAGAAAAGTTTTCACCAAATTTGGTGCAATTTCACCAGARTTGGCAACAGTGGTGATCAGTATTCGTCTGTGACTTCCTGAGGAAACGCGTCACAATGTGATTAAGATCTGCACCATGTGGTAAATTTTTCAATTTGTGATCCATATTTAAATCGGAGTACATTTACGTCAGTGAAATTCTAATTTAAATAAATACGTGACATTTATATGCACACCGATGGAATTTTCTCTCAAAACTTTAAAAAATTCAGATGGTGCTTTTTATTTTTCCTTGTACAGCGTTGTTTGCTAGCGAGAGTGCTTTAAAAATCTCTTTGTTTTATTAGACATTCGTATTTATCGCCACCATAATGAGGAACAAAGTTGTGAAATGGAGAATGTGGGACGAAGCGACAAAACGCGATCGTGTCTCGATTAAAAACTCAAAGCTTAACAATTTGAATTTTTTGCAAAAGAAAGTAGAAACAAACAGCAATGGCTGTGTTTATGTGAATCATTCATTTGCTTTTGTCGGACCTCTGAATTCGTTACACCCTGTATCACGTCGTTGGCGTTTGTTTTGTTTAAATTATTCATCGGTAGTGACTTCGGGGAAGTCGTTAAATAAAGAGCTGTGGCGACCCACCGGGACCTTAATTTCTATCAAAATGTATGAAAACGTTGAGCCGACATTATAAGTTGAGACAAAAGGAGCAAAACTTTACTCTGATTTATGAGAAATTGGCCCACGATTAATTATTTAGTTTTTTTTGGGAGCGATTTTCTGAAAATTATCCAATTTTCATGAGGTGTACTCTGGTTGAACTTGTTTCTTGTGTTTCTCTCCCATAAATAAATCTTTCAGCCAGTTGCGAATATTACTGAATTTTTGAAAATGTTTAACCAAATGAAATTTGCTCGACAAATGAAATGAATCAATCAAAAGTCTCAAAAGAGGAAATTTTCTTTGTCTCTAGTGTTATAAAAAATTATATGTGAAACACAAAAAAAATGTTTTTCTTCTTTTGAATGGTATCAATATAGCACAAGCATTCTCGGAAAGAAACTTTCTTTTTTTATTACACAAATAACTATTTTTTTGATAAATGTTTTGAGAGCAAAATTTTCTTCATCTCTTCATGCATGTTTTCTCACTTTTTTTTAAATTCACATTTGAATATTCTCTTTAGAAAAATTAAAATTCAATTAATCGGAGTCATTGTTGAGCAATGCTTCATTTCAAAATATCTAAAATTGAAATTGAACAGTGATCCGTAGAGTTGCCAGCACAAAAAAACAAAATTCACCAGATCTATGTTGAAAAAGTTGCTAAATTGAAACAAATTTTTACCATTTTACAAGATTACGATTTAACCCTTTTAAATAGTTTCCATTTTTTACGTAAACTGTAAACTATAATTTTTTTAATAACAATTTAGTGATTTTTGATTTGGTTTTAACATGAAAAACGGATTTTTCAGTTTAAAAATCATCTTCTATGCTCTAAAAAGGCAAAAATGTCATTATTTTCGGCCAAATTTTGTGATTTTGCGGCAAAAAATTATTGCGTTTCCAGCTGAAAAACGCTGGAGAAATGCCATTTTCAACTTAATTTGTTGATTTTAGCAAAATCTCGTGAAAACCTGAAATTTTAGTATCGACTAAATTTTCAGATTTTGGTGCTTATTTTTGCCTAAATTTTGCTCAAAAATTAGTTAAATCATGTGAAACATATAAAATAACATCAATGTTAATTCTTCTTAAGGCGAGTTTGGACAAAATAAATGAACCTTTAGTTCAAAAACGAACTCGAGCAACGAAAACGATCTGAAAATAATATTTTGTAATTTTTGATAAAGTGAAATTTTTTGGTTTTATTTGAAAAATGTGCAACACTCAAAAATGTCAAAAATAACATGTTTTTGGCCTATTTTGTTTAATTTTTAGCTTGTTATTAACAAAATTTACCTACTAAAGCATTTAAAAAAGGCAAAAATGTCATTATTTTCGGTCAAATTTTGTAATTTTTCGGCAAAAATTTTGCGAAATTATTGCGTTTCTAGCTGAAAAACGCTAGAGAAATGCCATTTTCAACTTAATTTGTTGATTTTCTGGTTTGTTTTAGCAAAATCTCGTGAAAACCTGAAATTTTAGTATCGACCAAATTTTCAGATTTTTTTTTGGAGTGATTTTCTGAAAATTATCCAATTTTCATGAGGTGTACATTCTGGTTGAACTTGTTTCTTGTGTTTCGCATAAATAAATCTTTCAGTCTGTGTTCATTTTCAGTCAGTTGCGAATTTTACTGAAATTTTGAAAATGCGTAACCAAATGAAATTTGCTCGACAAATTAAATGAATCAATCAAACGACTAACTAACAAAGGCTACTCGAAATATCGAGCGGTGTATTTGTACAGTATTCAGTTTCACAGCCTACTGAATATCCATCCCACACTGGCTGAAAACGAATGATTTATTT